ACTTGAAGCTCTTCTTAAACTACATGACACATAGCTTATATATATATATGTATGTATGTATGTATATATATATATATATATACACATATATATACTAGCTAAATGTATTGTACATATAGTTTCTATCTTGTTTCTTTGTTATATTCAACTATTTTTTTTATGTGTTTCTTTTATTGGGTTTTTTTTTGGATTTGTAATCCTCAAGGACTAGAGGTTTGTAACATTGTATATAGATGTATATTCTTGGTCTTGGTGTCTGAGATTTTTCTTTCATGGTTAATTAGAATATTTTTTTTAGTAGAAATACATAGTTTTGGTTTAATTCACGAATTGCACGAACCAAGATAATGGAGTGAAAATGAGAATTATTGAATGGAAAATTGACCAGAAGAAACCACTAGATAGATACATGCACTAACTAATAAACGACACCTTTCTATTATCAGTGAAAAACGACATGTTTTTTGTGTTTGTCAAATAAATAAAGGCCAAGAAGCTAATATGGACATAATTACCTTAGCTCTCCATCCCTAAAAACACACATTTCGTCCCCTTTTTTTCCCCCTTTTCTAAGAAAATGACTGAATTATCCGTCTTCCTTCTCATAAAACCATTTATTGCTATTAAAAAGCCCCCTTTTTTTTTTTTTTTTTTTTTTTTTCAAATCATAGCAAAAGTGCCAAACTGGTAGACACAGACTGATATAGATATTTAAGTTTACCTCAAATCTTGCACTAGGCCAAAACAATGGTTTTTAACCCTTTCATGGATATGGGACAATATTCTATGTATGGCCTCCCTGAAAAAAGGTCTGAATAAGCGCTATCAAAGCAAAAATTATACAAGGAACTTTTAAAAATTAAAGTTATAGAAGTATATTGCAATACAGGAAATGGGCAATTCATTTTTGAATTATTGTCAAGACAATATTAGAGAAGGATTCTAAATCATTAGTAGTTTTGTAACATATCCAAAACATTTGCATGACAAAATGGTGGCTAAAATAATATAATCTTTTTGGTAGAAATAAATAATAGAGATTTTAAACTTTGAGCTGATAGTTGAGCCAAAAAAAAAAAAATCAGATATTGCCTATTGGCGTTGAATTCAAGCAATGCCAAAGGCATTTCCAATCCTTTCAAAAAAAAAAAAAAAAAGGAAAAAAAAAGTCATTTCCAATCATGACCCCATTATGTTGACATAAACATAAACACATAAACTCTTGACAAAGTCTTGAAGCTTTCTAATCGTCATCCTTTCCATTGTATTTATTTCCTAGTTAAAAAATGGTTAATAATGTAGAAGTGTAAACATGTTTATTATAAATAAATTACATATTTATATGGCTAGTTTTGCTAAATATATTTTATACGTCTAGCTGGTAGTTAGTTTCTCTTTTTTCTCTCTTTACAATAGATTTTGCCTTTTTCAACAAGTAAAAGAACAAACTTATTTCCCAAGCAAAAAGAACAAACTCATCAAATATGTAATTTACAAAATGCCAACCTATTAGATATCACAGTAATGACAACTTTCCATCTAATAATGATATTAAATTCAATAACTTATTTCTACCTCTAAAAAACAATCACTCATTTCTGTGCATAAATAATCAAAATAGAGTTAAAGAACTCTACCAAAAAATAAAAAAGAATAATACATTATATGCATTTCTTAAAAAAAATGTATTTTTTTCTCTTTGGAGTAATAACTTATATGAAAATTCTACTTTTTATATGGGAAGAATTCTTCTATTGGATATATGAAAAATTACTTTACCTTACATTTTAGCAATTTTATATAATCTTTTATTTTAATGTGAGTCTGTAAAAATTTCTAATTTGTATTTTTGTTAGTGCAAGAAGAAAAGGGTAACTCCCAGGATTAATTATCGCTAATTAAAATTATAGTTAACCCAAATTTCGGACCACGTTGTGTTTAGACACCCATCATTTCAACACGTGCTCATGAAGACTTATATTAATGTGTTTTATTTACAATTAACATGTCACCATTTCTCTCTCATTTCTCCGTACAGTTTTCTCTCTTTTTAATCTTCTCTTCTTTTCCATTTTTTCTTTCCTTTGGTTCTCTGCGAATCTACAAATCACAAGGCTCGACCCATCAACAAGTTGTTTATAATCTGTCCGAGAAAATTCAGTTTCTGTTTTAAGGTACCCAGTTTTCCTTTTTCTGTTTTTTTTTTTAATCTTTTCCATTTTCTGTTATTTTTGTAGCAAACGAACAGAAGTCAAATCTGAATCCTTATTTGTGTTTTTAGTCAGATGGGTAGGCTGTAGATCTTAACAAGATTGCATTTTTTTTCCTCGCACATGCAGTGCTGGAGTTTATAACAATTTGAACCCACATTTTGACATTTGTTTTCTCTATGTATTTTAATGGATATGTTGATAATTCTTTGGTCAGAAGATATGGTGTAGAAAATATCTGTATCTGGGTTTTTAACTGGTTGTTCTAAAACGGCGCAAAAAATCATAATTTTCTGTTTTTCAATTCATCTTCAGTAAAGAAAAATGAAAAAACAAAAAGAAATAAATGGAGGAAAGCCAAAATGTGGATAAGATTCTATGCTTATATCTTCTGGTCATACTTTGAGGGTGAAGATTGTCCAATTATAAACTTTTTTTTGTTTTTAATTTCCAAAATGTGAACTTTTAACTTTTATTTATTTTGGCAGGTTGTGGAATTAGTTTTGTTTGGATCAAAATGTCTTCTCCAAGTAAAAGAAGAGAGATGGATGTCATGAAGTTGTAAGTTGCTCTTTCTTATTACCCCTAATTGGCAAGTGATAGATCTACATTATTGTTGTTAGTGCAGTTATCTGGTTTTCATATGAGTTGACTTTAGAGTAAATTGATGGTAACATTGCTAAGGGTATTCTCTGTTTCTGGTGCAAAAGGAAATATGGAAAAATGCTTCAAATTTGTGGTGTGGAATTCTCTTTTTCTGTTATGAATTAAAACGTTTACATTACTAACGATAGCAATGAGCTAAAGAAAGACAATGAAGCACACGTAAGATTTATAGTGGTTTATTCTCAATGTGAGTGTTGCGTCCACTTTCAATTTCCGTGGAATCACACACATAACGCCTCCACACACTCGACACTTTCTAGTTGTAGCAACTTTCCCCCTCTCTCATAGGCTTCTGGGAGGATCAGAACGCTTCATCTTTCACAACTGTTTGGCTAATCATTTTACGCTTACATTAAGCTTATGGTTTGGTTTTTTTTTTTTTTTTTTTTAATTTATTTATGACATTATGTTAATGCTATCCAGGATGATGAGTGATTACAATGTGGAGACAATAAATGATGGACTCAATGAGTTCAATGTGGAATTCCATGGTCCAAAAGACAGTAAGGTTTTCTCACTCTTCTACTTCCTAATCACGTATGCTTTTCGAGATGAACTTTTGTGTGTGTGTGTGTGTTGATGGGTGTGTGTGTGTGTGTGTGTGTGTGTGTGTGTGTTGATGGGTGCTTACATCGAACAATGAAACATTTTAAAATGCACAAGCTGTTTCATGTAAAGCAGAATATGGATTTAGTTCCTTGGAATTTATAAGCAAAAGATATATGAAAAGCTTTTCTCTTGGTCGCTAACTTGAATATTCTGACTTTAGAAAGTGGAAACAGTTCGATAACTCTCTCTTTCTCATGTTTTCAATACTTCTTAGTTCTTTCACAGAGTAGTGCTCTTGCAGCCACATTTTCGTTTGAAATATTACTTTTTTTGTTACTAAGTTTAGCTAACATGATTATGGTGGTTACACTTGTAGGCCTCTATGAAGGTGGGTTTTGGAAAATACGTGTTGAGCTTCCTGATGCTTATCCTTACAAGTCTCCTTCTATTGGATTTGTGAACAAGATTTTCCACCCAAATGTTGATGAATTGTAAGCATATTTTTGCTTTAGGATCTTTTGATTGCTAAAAGGTCCCATTTCTGTTGCTCAAAATACACATGGATTGTTAAGTTTCTTATAGTAATCTCGATATAGTTGCTTTATGGTCTTTTCTACTAACAAGTTGAAAGTTGGTCTGATGTCGTATTATGCGTTAATCTTTTTGTCAATAGAACTGACTGTTTCCTGTGAATGATTTGCAGATCTGGTGCTGTCTGCTTAGATGTAATCAATCAATCATGGAGTCCAATGTTCGGTATTTATCATCCCATCTTAGGAAAAAACTGAGTTCCATTTATATTAAATTGTGGAGACTCAAACACATTGTATTGTATTATGCTTCTCCCTTTCACAAATTGGTGAAAAATTCTCTTTCTATTATTTTACTTTCTACCCTTTTCTCCTTTTGAATTCACGTCTCCATCTTTTTTCTTTTGCTACCACAGATCTTCTAAATGTTTTTGAAGTTTTCCTTCCACAACTTTTACTGTATCCAAATCCTTCCGACCCACTCAATGGTGATGCCGCGTCATTGATGATGAAGAATCGGAAGCTATATGATCAGAAAGTGAAAGGTGAAAATTTTATGTATAATTAACCCCTTTTCCATTTGTGTATGCTCAGTATTCAGTAAATAGAATGAAAAAAAGTTTGCTTTATCAAATTCTTTAAACTGACCCTTAAGAATGGGTGGGAGATGCATGTGAAAGAGTGCATGGTGACGGAAAAAAGTTGTGAGTTTTCATGAATCTGATTTTTCCTTCTCCTTTGGAGGCGTTTCTAGGATACAGAAAATCACTCAAATTAAAAAGACATTCTGAAAAGAAGATGTTTGAGGGAAATTTGTAGTTTTGCTTCATATTTAAACTGATGAAAACAAAGGGAAATGTTCACCTTCACATGTCTTTCGTGTCATTCCGGATATTGTAAAAGAATCAAAGACCAAATATATGTTTACCTTCTATTGATTTGTGATCACAGAATACTGCGAGAAATATGCGAAAAAGGAGCATATTGTCAACATGACACCAGAAGAGGAGAGTGGTGATGAAGAGCACACTGCCGATGAAGAAAGTGATCAAAGTGACGATGATGATATTGCTGGTCATGCAGACCTGTAATGGTAGTTGGGGGCTATTTTATAATCTTTTCATGTAAGCCCTTCTTTACAGCAGCAGTATAACACATACCTATTAGATTCCCACCATTTAATTGCAATCCTATTTGTAGACTAAATTTAATTTATTTGTAAAAATCAGGAACTGTGTAAGAAGTTGTATCTTTCAGATCTCACAAGAGATGCAATGGAAAATAGAGAGATGGAAAGGAACCATTGAATATTTCTGTCATTTGTCACTCTCTTTCATGTTATATTTAGATATGTTATTCCTCTGTTAGCCAATCTTACTTTTTTTTTTTTTTTTTTTTTTTTTTTTTTTTTTTAGACCACCAATGCTTTCAAAGAGCCAAAATGCAATTATTGTACCCTTAAGTGTAAAACAAAAGGCCAAGTTTAGGCATTGGTTTAGTATGAACAACTGTTAAAATGTTGAATAATTCTTCCTGATCTTCAAGAGACTAAAATAAGACATTTTGGGACGTTAAAGAGGTAGGTTAACTCTATCTAGGACAATGTAATTAGACCGCCACAAATGGAAAAGGAAAGAATTCCCAGTGTAAATTGAACAATTGCCATGATTAATTAAGACATTAGGAGGGGCTCATACTTGGCCTTTGAAATTAAAATTCACTTGGATGTTTACAATCAGTTTAATTTAATTGCACTGTGAATTACAGTCTAGAGGTAAGATGAATAGCTGGATTTGCTCTTTGATCCCTGAAAAGGCATGGAAGAATTTGATATCATGATATTACAAGTCAATATGTCTGCAATGCATGGGTGTTTTAACTGCATAATGAATACTGAGATGCCCTTGATGTAGAATACAATACGATTGTTCACGTTCTAACAATATCTTTTGAAAAAAAAATAAATAAAAAAAAAAAATTAACATGATATTAGAGTAAATTGTCCCGTTTCGAATCTTAGTAATCGTAATTTCATAACTTTATCATGCGTGTGCCTATTGTCTCTTTGATACGGCCATAGTAGGCATGTTGAGTTCTTTGTTTAGGGCCCGTTTGGTATAGTTTGTGTTTTTAAGTAGTAGAAGAAACGAAGCTTAAGTTGGGACTTTTTTATTAATATTTGGATAGTGCTGAAAAGTACTTTTATATTTAAGAAGAGTTTTTGAACTTGTTTGGGTAAAAAAATTAAAAACACTTATTGTTATAAAAAGTAATGTAATAAAAGGATATAGAAAGGATATTTAATTTGTTGTTCACAAATAAAAGGTTAAAAATATAAATAAAAAAACTTTTCATAAGTACAAGGAGATTATTTGTTTTAAAAGTGCTTAAAAAACTAAAAACACTTTAAGGTTGTCTATCTAAATAGATTCAAAAGTATAAGGAGATGATTTGTTTTAAAAGTGCTTAAAAAAACTAAAAACACTTTAAGGTTGTCTATCTAAATAGATTCAAAAGTAATTTTTAGACTAAATAAGTTAAAAGCAGCTTTTTTTTAAGTCAATCTAAACAGGTTTTAGTTTGGCTAACTCATAAAGGAGAAGGGTTGAAATATAATACTAATTTTGACCAATTTCCTAACCGCATGAGCTTTTACGAGAATTGGTAGACTAAAATGGGAGACACCAAACTATATGTTAAATTTCTTCTCGTGATAAATTAGTACCCACATAACATATTTTTATCATTGAAATTTAAACTTCTTATTGTAGTAAATTAGTTGCAATTCCATTTTCTTTTAGTAGAAATCCCAAAAAATTTATCGGTACAAAGAAACGGGTTAGATCAATAAGAAAGTTCCATTTGTCTATGTGACCCTTGGCCGAATAAAATCTTAGTAGAATCCAGTCTGTCCTGAATGCTCTTTCTAGTTACACTTCTAACCCGTCTAAACTTTTTTGTTTAATAAATTAATCAAATTGTTATCTCTTTCAAAAACGGTAAAAGAAAGAGACACTATATAATAATGTTATTAAGAACCATCAAGTACTGTTTAAAGTAAACGACTTGACTATTTCAACTTGCCGGCTCCTAAAAAAAGTCCTTAATTCACAAATCACGAAAATGAATATGACAAACCAGTCTTTGTTAGTATCGGCCATATTGGCATTTTTAGCATTGCAAGTTTGATAAATAGAAAACCAAACCACAAAAGAAGCGGTTCTCCACTGAATCTCTACTTTCTTATCAGAAAATGAAAAGAGTTCCCATCTGGGCAATCTCCATTTTGATCCTTCTCACTTTTCAAAGATCGAACTCGGTGGAGGACGACGTGAAGAAGGCGCTGATCGAGTTCATGGACAAGCTTTCACATGGGACTGCAGAGAGACCAAGCAACTGGGGTTGGAACATGACTTCAGACCCTTGCAGAGACAAATGGATTGGTGTTATTTGTGATGATGGGCTTAACAAGGTGAAGAGAATAGTCCTCGAAGATCTCAATCTAACGGGAGCTTTTGATGCAAATTCTTTTTGCACTGTGAAGTCCATTACAGTCCTGAGTCTACAACGCAACAAGATCATTGGACAGATTCCAAGTGAGATCGAGAACTGCCAGTCCTTGACTCATTTGTACTTGACCGGAAATCAATTCTACGGAAAACTTCCCGAGTCGCTTTCCATGTTAAGCAACTTGAAAAGATTGTATATAAGAGATAACAACTTCTATGGAGAGCTTCCAAATCTTCCGCGCATATCAGGCTTGACAGCTTTCCTGGCCGAGAACAACCAGCTAAGTGGTCAAATACCGCCTTTTGATTTCCCAAACTTCGATTACTTCAACGTCTCCAACAACAACTTCAGTGGACCAGTTCCTGATGTGCAAGGCAAATTCAAAGATACTAGCTTCTTGGGCAATCCTTACTTGTGTGGAAAGTCACTGCCAAATGATTGTCCACCAATAACTACTAAACAGAAGCCAAGAAAGTCTTCATCTAAGCAGATTCTTGTCTATTCAGGTTATGTAATTCTTAGCTTGGTTGTTTTGCTCTTTGCCATATTCAAGTTCCTCATAAAAAAGAAGCCTAAAGAAGAAAAGAAAGACGAGGTTAAGAAGCAGAATGTTGCACTAGATAAAAATAGTACCATGCCTAGTACTATCACTTCCTCGGAATTCAGGAATGGCAAGTCAGAATACTCTTTGACATCCATTGAAAGTGGGAGGATTCCTTCTCTTATAGTTTTGATGAGTTCTATGACTAGTGGTTTGACATTTGAGGAGTTGCTTAAAGCTCCAGCTGAGTTACTTGGGAGAGGAAAACATGGAAGCCTTTACAAGGTCATGCTTGATAATGGGGTGTTCTTGGCTGTGAAGAGGATCAAGGATTGGGGGATTTCGTGCAAGGATTTCGATAGGCAGGTGAGGAGGTTGGACCAAGTGAGGCATCAGAATGTGCTGCCACCCATTGCTTTTTATTGCTCGAGGCAAGAAAAGCTCTTGGTTTATGAGTATCAGCAAAATGGTAGTCTCTTCAAACTTCTCCATGGTAAGTAGGTAACTTCACTTCTCACCGCAGGTAATATTTTGTGTTTTCTTGATGATGCTGTGCAAAGGGTTGTCTTCTTTTTGTAATAGAAGGTAAAATTAGAGTAGTCAATGACATTATAAAGTAAAAGAATGTTGACTAGGTTACAACCAAATAAGACATTAATGGCCTTTACTATGGTATAAAGTGCTTCTCTAGGTAGATTTTTCTAATTTTGTCATGGTTTAATTTTTAAAGACCCTGTTAAACATAGACTTGTTTCAAAACAAAGTATGTACAACACGGTATATTAGAACATAAAACTATTATTGGCACACCTCATACCAGCGTAAACTTTTTACGAGAATTGATAAACTAACATGGTATTAGAACAAAGGTCTTGAGTATCACCTTATACGTTTGCTCATTGTCCGGCCTACACAGGGACCCACCTCCTATCAGCTTAAGCTTTTGGGATAATTTGTAAACTAACTTCACTTTTACTTTATATTTTAATTTATAACTATGACTTAATCACCTTGGTTAATATGTTGGCTGCTTCAGAAAATTCTAGTGAAAAGCATAAAAAAAGTTATTATCCATATCCTGTGGTTGAAATGGTATCCACCTTTGTTTTGTTTTGCTGATCATGTCAGGATCTCAAAGTGGGCAAATATTTGAGTGGGGGAGTAGACTAAGTGTTGCAGCCAGTATTGCTGAGGCAATGGCCTTCATGCATGAGGAGCTTCATGAGGATGGCATTGCTCATGGCAACCTAAAGTCCATGAACATTCTCTTCAACAAGACCATGGATCCTTGCATTAGTGAATATGGTCTCATGGTTGTTGAGAACCAAGACCAGTCATTTCTCTCTCCACTCAACAGCATAATAACACAAGAGGACTTTGATGGGGCCCCACCATATAGCACCTTCAAGGTTGACATCTATGCCCTTGGGGTGATTCTTTTGGAGCTTCTTACTGGGAAGTTGGTTCAGAAAAATGGGTTTGATTTGCCTGGTTGGGTTCAGTCAGTGTTGAGAGAGGAATGGACTGTTGAAGTGTTTGATAATGCCTTGATCTCAGAAGGCGCTAGTGAAGAAAGGATGGTGAACTTGTTGCAAGTTGCACTTAAGTGCATAAATCCTTCTCCTAATGAAAGGCCTAAAATGGGCCAAGTTTTTCAGATGATAAATGCCATAAAAGAGGAGGAAGAGAAATCCATATCATTTGCACCATGAAAAGAAGAAGCAATGTTATCATTAATAGAAAAAACAAGTTAGACTTGTTTTTTTTTTTATTCTTATTTATATATTTTTGTTATCTATGATGTATGAAGGGCATTACAACAATTCTTTTCTTTTGTACGTATGGTTTTTACATGTAGTTGTGTTTTCATTTTAGCATGTCCCGAGAGTTAGAAATTTTGTTTGAGTTGAGGCATTTGGATATGATATCAAACAGATCAGGAAAGAAAAAAACAAGAATGTTGTTATTATGTATTCTTTAACTTATCAATCTATCCTTTACAAAAAATTAATTAACCAATAAATGCAAGGTTATTTCATTAAGCAACTTTATTTTGCATAACTCTAGATCTTAACTTAGTAAATAGTATAATCTGGAATTAAATTCCTTCTCCTCAGTCCTTACAATTCTTACGAAATTAAGTTAACAAAACAATGGAATGATTAAGTTCCAATTCCTGTACATTCCTTTTATAATTCCAATTATTTCTCTTAAAATATGGATTAGTAGTTGCACTAGTTCGTTGTAGTTTCATCCTCTGGTGAGTTTAAGCTAGTTTGTCTTTTACAAAGGAAAGGGACATCAACTCAACTCAGTCACAATAGAGAGCAAAGATGCCCTTAGCAGATGTGACAAAATGCACTAGAAGAAAAGAGTATCAAATCCAACTTTTTCTTACCCTCTTTTTTCTTTTTGTCTGGCAGCTTCTCAAGGATCATATGGGGTTTTCACCAAGAGTAATGTAATTTAGAAGACTAGTATTTTAAGATTAATGCACACGAGTTTGGTGTCTTGGACAATTCAAAATCCAAATATTTAGTCACCTAATTGTTTAGAAATTTAGGACCCGTTTAAAAGTATATTCAAACTATAATTCTTGATTTTAACGTTTAAAATTTAAATTTTTTATGAGAGAAAAATACTGTAGCAAAATTAATAATTTGAGTTTGAGTATATAAAATAAACGAGCTCTTAATGATTGTGATGATCACTAGGTGACAAACTGGACTTTTTTGGTCACGGATAACTTTTAGTTTTTTGTGTAATCTTAACAAATACTTTTTAAAAGTTTATGAATCAAGATTTTTATTCTTTATTCTTAATTCATAATTTTTTTTTTTTTTTTTAAGAAAATCCATACTCCTATACGTTGTGTTTTATCAAATTAGTAGATTATCACTTTAATTTTTAAATGACACAAATCAGTACCTTGTGTTTTTCAGGAAATATCCTTCAAGTAATTCTGCTCATTTTTGTAAGACTTAAAATGCCCTTTATCTTTTAAATAAAAACTCCATATCAATTATTTTTAATGCATAAAATTTTAAAAGTAACAAAAAATAAGAAGCAAAAAAGACTTGTATGTCCCTTTTTGAGAATAATGCACTTTTTTATTTTTATTTTTTCCTTTTCTCTTTTAACATAACTTCAGTTAGAAAGGATAGAATTGAGATGTTTTATCTTGAAAAGACCTCAAGTAGCTAAGGATATTTTTTTTAAAAAAACAAGACACATATTTAGTGTTGGGGGATTTTCCACCCGCGATGCATGGTCATGTCACATGCCCATGACAACTACTTTAATCGGGAATGAGGGAAAACCCTAGTTCTAGTAAAGACCGAATACAATGACATGGACAAATGTCTGTATCGATTGAGGTAAGGCTTAAACCTCCATTGAAAGCATGATCGAGATCGTTAGAGAACTTCGACGTGCTAAGACCGAAATGGATTGAGATAAGAAAACAGTGTGAATGACGCATCAAGGGCAAGTAATGTCCTATAGCCATGGCACATGCCATCCCCTTCTCTCAACTAATGCGATCAACGAGGATAAAACATGTGTAAAGAGAATATTAGTTGATCAACGAGGATAAAACATGTGTAAAGAGAATAACTGAATTGAAAGGGACATCAACTGGATTAGAAAATTTCTCAAGAACCTTCCAAAGACAGAATGTCCAAAGGAAACCCTAATGCATAAAGGAATGTGACGTGTCATGATCATAAGAAATCAGGAACGTTCATCCGATCATGACACTCAATTTATAAATAAAATAAAATGAGATCAACTTGAAAAAGGACATCTTCTGAAGCCTCTTCTTCTTTGGCCTTATTGTTACTCCACTTCTTGAGCATTTGCCTTACTTGAGCGTCGGAGTGCTTCTACAGGGCAACCTCCGGTGCCCCTCATCTGTGGAGTTACTTAAAGAGGAGCGGAAGAAGGCTGAGTTGCCCCAAAAGTCTGTTTGGAAAACCACAGACATCTAGAAGTTGATGTTTGAAAACCACACAAACATTTAGTATTATATAATTACTATGATACTAATCCAGTAATTTACTGAAATACAGGGTAGCATTCATGATGTAACTTTCCTTTAATATATTTATAAAATAAACTTGGTACTTATAAATATGAGTATTTTTATTTATTTGTTTATTTTTATTGACGAATCCGTTCACTTCGTAAATTTGAGTTTTCAATTCAAGCTGAGATGTGATATTTTTTAAAAGTTTTTTACTATAGTAAAAAAGTTAGATGTGACATTTTCTGAGAATTTTTTATTGTAAAAACTTAAAATTAAAAATTCAAATTGATAAAATGAACGAGGTATTATAATATTAGTAGTTGATCAAGAGGAACTAAACAAAACTCTCTCAAGAGATTGCCTCGTTGGTGGGTAGGAAGTAGAAACTAACATTACAAAACACAGAATTGTGAAAAACTAATGCCCTTTCATGATTAGTTATAATCATCACCCATTTCCAGTGGGCGGAATCATGAACATGATATATAGTACCATGCGTGGAAGGAAAAAAGAAAGTGGTGACCCCACCATCATGCTTTTGTCCTCCAAACTTTAAGATTTTCTCTTTTTGCCATCATGTTTTTAACTCAATTATTGATCAAAATGGATGGTTATTAATGTCTTCATTTTTTGCACAGATCCAAAACTTATTGTCTGGCCAGGTGGTTGAGCTTCAGACACCCCCCATTACAGAAATGTCAAAGCCTTTGCATGCAAATATGACTCTCAACCAAAATTGTCCCTTGCCTACTTATTCTCATTATTTTTGTAGTGATAGGGATCTTCTTTTGTTAAGGCCAATTAAGGTATATTGTCTCGACCTATCAGTAGACTAAACCCTTTTAACCGTAAAATTGAATTTTGAGTTTTTAGCACAATTGCCCTTGAACTTGTCATAGTTTAGTGAATTGCTCCCTAAATTTTTAATTTTAGCAACTTTCCTTCTGAACTTGTAAATTTGTTACAATGTGTCTCATTTAAATAAATTTACTCAAATTTGTTATTAGATTTAAGGGATTAAAAGTTGAGATATTGAAAGATTTGTATTACATTTGCATTATAATGTTAAAATTTTTTACTAAACATGCTTTTTGACGCTTTTTGACACTAATTTAACACAATCACCGTCAAAATGAGACATATTATAATAATTTTATAAATTAAAAAGATAACTTACTAAAATTAAAAATTTAAGGTGTAATTTACTAAATCGCGATAAATTTAAAGGACAAATGTATTAAAAACCTTTAAATTTTCAACATCAGATTTGTGAATATCCACGTTAAAATGACACATTGTATAACAGAAGAGTGCTCCTGGAGTTAAAAGTTCATCTCACGGCTAAAAAAAATCTAGTAGTAGAACAAAAACAGGTGTCTGCTGTAGACATTTCCGAACTGTTAATAAAAATCAAAGTGCCTTTCCTTTTTCTCATTAGTATGCTAGGAATAGTGGAAAGTTTCCTTGATTAGACCGGCAAATTAACAGGGTAATAATGATTAAAATGGTAATCATTTTTTATTAATCTCGATGAATAAGGAAGTGTGACATACCACTGTGGACAATGTTAATTGTGGTGTGGTGGACCTCACAATTATTCTTCCACTATTTTCCTCGCGATTTTTTTTTCTCTTTTTCGTCCTTGTGCAGCTTTTTCAGTGTGTGTAGGCATAAAAATCATCAGAAACACAAAAGAAAAAAAGGAAAAAAAAAAAAAGATAAAAGATAAAAAGGGTCTAAAGAGCTCAGTCCTTGGAGCTCAGATGAGAAGGGCCAAGTAGCTTTCTACTAATTTGTGCCGTGTCTGGTGGACAACTGAGCTCTCTCTCTCTCTCTCTGAGCTGGTCCTGTTTGTTGTGACCAAAAATCTTTGCAATTAGGCCCTTTTAGAATGTCAACTTGTATGTTGTTTTGCCATTATCAAAATCAGATAACCTGCGCATTTGTATGCATAACATTATAGCAATCCAATTGAAAAGGAAAACAAAAATCAAAACCAGTACCCATCACCAAACAAAGAACCCAATATTGTTTCATGTCTATTCTTCATATCAGAAGGTAAGTTTCCTTCTTACTGTTTCTCTTGAATCTGAGAAACTAGTTTGAACACATTTCTCGCTTATCTACAGCAAAATTTTGTCATTTTAGCATTGTTGTTTTTGTATCTCCTGACATGTCAAGAGTTCCAAATAAACTTGATCAAAAAGATGGCAGATTTGTTTCCCCTAATGCTATACCTCCTTCATTACAAATTCCTTCTGGTACTGCTATTAATGAACAAGTAGTACCAACCTCACCACCTTCATCTCTTAGCAAAATCAGTCCAATACTTGTTTTGGTCATAATTTTTCTAGCATTTATCTTCTTCATATCTGGTGTTCTACACTTACTCTTTAAATTTTTCATCAAAAGGGCCTCTTCTTCACCAATCTATCAATCCAATATTAGGCTCCCAGAAACCGCATCCGGTTCTCATGTTCTCCAAAGACAGCTTAGACAGCTCTTTAGATTACATGACTCAGGCCTAGACCAAGCTGTTATAGATGCTTTGCCTGTGTTTTGTTACAAAGACATTGTTGGTTTAAAGGAGCCGTTTGATTGCGCCGTCTGTCTATGCGAATTCTCCGAACGCGACGATCTCAGATTGCTTCCTGCTTGCAGCCATGCTTTCCACATTGATTGCATTGGCACATGGCTGCTATCAAACTCAACATGCCCACTTTGCAGGCATACCCTTTTGGTGTCTGACATTTTTTCGGAGAATCCAATGCTGAACTTTGAGGATCATGTTGAGATCTCAAGTGGGTTGTCAAGTGATGGAGAAAACAGGCAGCCAAATAACAGGAAATCATTGGCTAATGTGGATCAGGAAGGCAGTTTTGGTGGTGTTAGGAGAGTGTTTTCTGTGAGACTTGGGAAATTCAGGAGCTTAAATGGTGGGGCAGAAAGTGCGGGAGAGACTAGTAGGTGTAATTTGGATGCTAGAAGATGTTACTCAATGGGGACATTTCAGTATGTGGTTGGTAATTCTGATTTGCAAGTGACTCTAAGCCGCGCAACAAGCGGAGATCGCCGCGGAAAGTTTTCAGTTGGTTCGGATTTGGAGGGGAAGAAAATCAGTGGAAGGCAAAAGGGTGAGAGCTTCTCAGTCTCCAAGATCTGGCTTTGGTCTAAAAACAGCAGATTCCCAAGCTGTTCTGATACTGATATAAGTCTGCCAACCTCTCTTAATGTCAGTTTTTCAAACAATAATCAAACTCCAAATGCAAGGATGTCATATAACTTGTGAGTATATAGATGAGATCAGTGGTTTCTTGGTCATCAGTCTATATACATACCAAAGGCTAAAATTGTATGTTATTTAGGCCTTTTTTTTTAAGTCTCTTTTTTTTTTTGTCTCTACTATACTCCAAATTCCATTTTGTTCACTGATTTCCATAATGTCCCGTTACGCATTAAAAACAGGTTCCGAGACATTTTGAAAATCAATGACCAAAATGGAATTGGACCGGATCAAAAATAAAATTAACATTAGAAGCATTTTATTTAGTTTGTTTTCTTTCATTCTTTTTCCCCCCTTACTTATAAGAGAATTCTGCAATGCAATTTTTACATTTTGATTATTATTATTATTATTATTCTGTTTCTCCTTATAAGAGAAATCTTCAATGCAATTTTTGTTTTCAATTATAAGTTAGTTCAATTCAAAAGAATAATAATGCTATGGACACTAACTCAAATTCTAACTATTGTGTATCAACTGCTGCTGCGGTATGTGAGTTGTTATTTTTATATTAATAGATGTTTAAAACATTATCACGTCAATTAATAATAAGATATTGCATTTACTTATAAAAAAAGACGACAACTCACATGCTACATCAATTAGTATATAAAAGTTAACCTGAGATTTGAGTTAGTGTCCTTAACATTGCACTTAAAACAAAGGAAAATTTGAAGATACAAATAGAGAAAAAAAAGGTGAGAGATTGCTGCATTGTAATTTTAGTTAAAAATTATGGTTGAATTTACGTCCCCGTCACTGGTCGCAAAAGCACATTCAATTTGAAAGTAATATTTGAAGCTTCCAGATAGTAGATTGGCAGAGAATCCAAATAGATCGGTAGAACCAAGCATAAGCAGTAATCACACTGCAATTGGCGTGCAGTACTTTTGTAAGATTGGATAACCATTTGAGAGAGGTATGTTAGATTTTTTTTAACTATTAAATTTGTATATTTTTTAATTTTTATGTAATTTATGTAGATTTGATGAATAAAAAAATTAACCTATCAGTATGTTAATTATGTTAACGTACAAAAGAAGGTCCCTAAAGCATTTTACACAAAAATAAAATTTCGAAGAATTCAGATATAAGGCAAATGATGTTAAGCGACAGACTAATTGACATTAGTATATCGATATACGAAAACCATGCAAAGCAATAATAATAATATCAACAAAGAATATCAATTGAAATGAAAAATACGATAAAAGCGCAATTAGAGGAATGAGAGTTAGGAGCAAGAATTTGTAATACAACTAAAATAAATACGACATACCCTGAAAATGGCATCATTTGTTTGGCACAGGGCATAACAAACAGGAAACGACAATCATATCAAAATACGACAAACGATTAGAAAGATGAATTGCATAAGCGACAAAAAAAGTGATAAACGATAATGGTCTCAATAAATGACATAATCTTGGATGGTTACAACTAATTAATTACACCACTAGAATAAAAACGACGACTGTTGACAATAGCCTCATCAAACGCCAACGAAAGCAACGTAATACAGCATTAGGATGAGAAACGACAACAAATTCAAAACACCATCCGTGCGTAAGTTTGTAGTCTCATTAGTCTAATAGGCGTTTGGTTCATATGTTCATAACCATTTTTGAAATTTAATTTTTTTTATGAGAAAAAAACACTCTAAAGAATCAACAATCATAATTCAAAATCAGAGACGAACCCTTAAAACAAACTTCCCATAAAAAATCCATATCAATTGGAAAATGCCAAAAAGTAACACATCTCGTCAATATGAACCGATGACATTTATCACAATAGATTACGCATAATATACAATAATAAATCAAAAACGAGGCGAAGCTAGTAAATTTATTCAAAGAGTGTAGTGAATCTGGTAAATACTTCACCGGTTCGAGTTTGAATATGGTAAATATTGTATTTAACAGTAAATACTTCACTAACAATTTCTAATCTGCTAAATATTGTGTTTACCAATAAATACGGTATTTAACGATCGAACCGGTCACTAGATTTTTGAATAAAAATGGTAAATATAGTATTTACTAATAAATATGATATATGATATTTACTAGTAAATACAGTATTTACTGGTAAATACGATATTTACTGGTAAATACGGTATTTTCTAGTAAATATAGTATTAAACGGTCGCTGGTGTCGATACTTGAATTTTCAGATAAATATGATATATATTAATAAATACGGCATTTACCGGTAAATACAATGCCAAACGGTCACCGGAGTCGGTGGCTTGATTTTTAGGTAAATATGATATTTACTAATAAATACAATATTTATTGGTAAATATGGTATTTACTTGTAAATACAACGTTAAGCTATCGTCAGAGTTGGTGGTCAGCTTTTCGGGTAACTATGGTATTTATTAGTAAATACGGTATTAAATGGTAAATACTATATTTACCGATAAATACAATATTAAATAATCGTCAGAAACACAGTCACTAAAAACGGCCATCGGTCACTGAAAAATGTCACCAGTGGCCGGAGCTGATCGATGGAGCCGGCTACCGACTACGGGTCACGTGAGCTGGCCGCCAGTCTCGACCATATGAACTTTACTATAATCTACTTAATTTAAAAAATATGCTATAATTTACTACTTTTAAAAAATAGATATTTAAAGAAAGAGTGAGGTGAAAACTGAAATTTAATAATATTTTTAAATTTTTAATAATATTTAAAACTTAAAATATTAAATTATGTTATAATTTATTATTTTAAAAAATAGGTTATAATTCACTTTAACAAATTATGTTATTTTCTTCCTTATCCTATTTTTGCACCATCCTCAAACTTTTATCAATTACTATCCTCAAAGTTTAGGCACTAACGATTGCCAATTACAATTTTTTTAATTAAAAAATAACAATAATAATAAGACGTCAGCTCCGTTTAGTACTTAGATTCGTTCCCTGATTTAAATTATGGTTCGTGATTCGCTACAATATTTTCTCTCATAAAAAATACACGTAAATCAAAAATAATTCTAATCACGTGATTTAAATCCATGAACTAAACGCCACCTTAATTTTATTGATTAGAATCATAATTTATTATTTTAATTTTTAAAATTTAAATTTTTTATAAAAAAAAATATTATAAAAAATTAAAAACTATAATGCAGAATACAGACGAACCTCGAAACAAACGTCACATAAGTCTTCTTCAATCTTCAGTGTTGCTGTTTCTATAGTCAAAATAAACCTATTGGACCATTCGCTTTGACCTTTTTCTCATAATCTTTCTCAGTTCTCACTCTCTCTCTCTCTCTCTCTCTCTCAACAATGGGAGCGATGGTCGAAAGACCGACGGTTCGGGTCACAAACATCCCTCAAACCGCCATAGCCACGGACCTCCAGACTTTCCTAGAGTCAAAGCTCGGCCCGAACTCGGTCTTCGCCGTCGAAATCTCCACCGAGCGCAAGAACTGGAAGTCACGCGGCTTCGGGCGCGTCCAGTTCACCTCCCTCGCCGCCAAATTGGTGGCCCAGGCCCTCTCCCTCTCCAACAACTTCGTCTTCCGGTCCCGCAACCTCGGAATCTTCGACACCCACGACGACATCGTCGCGCTCCCCGTCGATCCGAAGCTCCGCCTCGAGGACGGCGTTTTGCATGCGGGATTCATGATCAGGGACGACCGAATGGCAGTGCTGCAGTCCTGGGAGGGCGTGCGGGCGTGGGCCATGCCCGAGAGGAATCGGGTCGAGTTCTGGGTCTGGTCGGACGAGGATTGTTACAAGCTCGAGGTTGCTTTCGAGGATGTTTTGGAGACTGTTGGGTACTGTTTGGATGATGGGAAACTTTATGCTTTTCTCTTGCAGGTAATGTCATACGTCCACAAATTCAAAACTTTTCTTCCTTTGATTTTTAATTTCTTTTTTTTTTTGGGTAGAATTTATATGTAAATTTTGTTTCTTTGTTGCTGAACTGAAAACGACCAAAGATCTTTCGTCTATACTTTAGCTGAGAAAAAAAAAACAGTGATTTTAAACATTTTTTGTAGAATTTTTATATAAATTTTCAATTTAAGTTGAAAACTCAAATTAGCGAAAGAAACGGGGTTATCTTCATTTTGTTTCGTTTTGTTTCTTTTTTTGTTTTTTTTGTTTTTTTTGTTTTTTTTTGTTTCATGTTGAACTTAATATCTTAAGATTACACTGTTTTTTTCTCAGCTAAAGTATGGACCAAAGATCTACAAGAGAATTTCTAGGCCTTCAAAATTCGTTGCTGATCGTTATCACATTTGCAAGGAAGATTTTGAGTTTCATTGGGTGCGTACTACTGATTTTTTAGAGTCGAAATCGATTGGACACTCAACGTCTCTTTGCTGGGACGCAAAGGAAGACTTTCTATCTTCAGATACTTTTAGAAGTTTCCCTTATTATAGAGAAGGTATGAAAGATCTAATCTTGGAGGACAGTGATGAGTTCTGTTCGGTATCTGAAACAGTTCCGCTCATAAAATGTCCGGCAGGCAGCAATTTGTCGTATGAGATCCTTTTCCAGCTGAATTCCCTTGTTCATATGCAGAAGATTAGTTTTGCTTCCGCAGATGCTGATCTCATCGAGTATTTCGGCAGTTTAAATATCGACACTGCAAATGCAGTTATTCAGAAGCTGCACAAGCTTAAGTCCACTTGTTACGATCCTCTCTCGCTTGCTAAGACTTATGCACACATCTTAGAGAAAAACACAAAAAATCCTTCTTCAGCCATCAAGAGATTAACAGAGAATAGTCTGATGAGTTGTCATAGAGCCTTAATTACTCCATCAAAGATCTATTGCATGGGTCCTGAGCTGGAAACTTCGAACTACGTTGTGAAAAACTTTGCAGCATATGCTTCTGATTTCTTGAGAGTTACTTTTGTCGAAGAAGATTGGGGTAAGCTTCATCCACACGTGGTTTCCACAAGTATTGAGCAAGGTATATTCGCGAAACCTTATAGAACCGGGATATATGATCGAATACTGTCTATTCTTCGAAATGGGATTTTGATTGGAGCTAAAAGGTATGAGTTTTTGGCGTTCTCTGCTAGTCAGCTCCGATCAAGTGCAGTTTGGATGTTCGCTTCTAATGATAATGTGAAGGCAGAAGATATTAGAGAGTGGATGGGCTGCTTCAACAAAATCCGTAGCGTGTCCAAATGTGCAGCGAGGATGGGTCAGTTGTTCAGTTCTTCTAGGCAAACTCTTATTGTTCCCACACAAGACTTAGAGATCATTCCTGATGTTGAGGTTACAACTGATGGTATTGACTACTGTTTCTCTGATGGTATTGGGAAAATCTCCTCATCTTTTGCCAGGCAAGTTGCACAAAAGTGTGGGTTAAAAGAAACCCCTTCAGCGTTTCAAATTCGCTACGGTGGATATAAAGGGGTGATTGCTGTCAATCGTAGTTCCTTCAGGAAGCTATCTCTTCGTAGCAGCATGCTTAAATTTGAATCAAGTAACCGGATGCTTAATGTAACGAAATGGAGCGGCTCCATGCCCTGCTATTTGAATCGGGAAATCGTTTCTCTTTTGTCTTCGTTGGGCGTGAAGGATGAATCATTTCTCGCATTGCTACGCGAACAATTGCTCCTTCTTGGGAAAATGCGGACAAATAGAGAGGCAGCACTTAATGTCTTGGAGAATTTGAATGGATCTGATTCTTCTAACATCCTGGTAAAGATGTTGCTTCAAGGTTATGAGCCAAATGCAGAGCCTTACCTTTCTATGATGATTCAGTCATATTACGAGAATCAGTTGTCTGATCTAAAAACAAGATGCCGAATATTCGTCCCAAAGGGTAAGGTGCTGATCGGATGCTTGGACGAAACTGGGATATTAGAGTATGGCCAGGTTTATGTCCGATTAACCATGAAGAAAGCAGAGCTAGAAGCAGGGAATCAGAGTTTCTTTAGGAAGGTGGATGATGAAACATCTATTGTGGTGGGGAAGGTGGTTGTCACAAAAAACCCTTGTCTTCATCCGGGCGACGTCAGGGTCCTTGAGGCTGTCTACGACGCCAAATTAGAGGAAGAAGGCTTGGTGGATTGCCTTGTCTTTCCTCAAAAAGGCGAAAGGTATAAATCTTGTTTATTCTTAAAAAAGCTTATGTACTCTTTATAAGTATCGCCAATCTAATATTTATAAAGCAGAAGCAGAGTTGAGGAGTGAAATTTCATTGTAAGGAGAGTTTCTGATTGAGAAGGATAAAAAGCTTTAAGTTCATTTGTTACTTCTTAATGAGCAACTCATTTAGTACCCTCGTCAGCAGCTTGCCATTAAATCATTTACATTTCCATTTATTTTGGCTTAGTTTCTCATCCGATCATCTTTGTGAACATTTCTTGTCCAAGAGGAAACTATGATTGATTCCTCAGTCGACTTTTTTGTGTCCTTAAATGATGTTTATGCAATATATAGCGTTCGAGTGGATTTTTCATCATGGTTAAGAACTTTTTCCACAGGCCTCATCCTAATGAATGCTCTGGTGGCGATCTTGATGGGGACTTGTTTTTCATTAGTTGGGACACTAATCTCATCCCACCTCGAACGACAGCCCCCATGGACTACATTGGACGGAGACCTCGTATAATGGATCATGATGTTACCCTAGAGGTAATCTCATAACAGAATATGATTGAACTGATTACAGAAACTATAACATTTCGGTCAGTTGACTTTGCTTGGATTTGCAGGAAATTCAGAAATTTTTTGTTGATTACATGATCAATGACACCTTAGGCGGCATCTCTACTGCACATTTAATTCACGCAGACCGCGAACCAGAAAAAGCCTTCAGCGAAAATTGCCTGCAGTTGGCAACATTGCACTCCATGGCCGTCGACTTTGCAAAGACTGGTGCACCAGCCGAAATGCCAAGGGCCTTACGACCAAGAGATTATCCGGATTTCATGGAGAGGCTAGACAGACCCATGTACGTCTCCAACGGGGCATTGGGGAAACTCTACCGTGCAACAGTAGAGTCAGAATCGCAGGGAAGTTCAAACTTGGTTTGGTCGGAGAAGACTGCTGAAGCAGCCTATGACCGTGATTTGGAAGTAAATGGCTTCGAGGAATTCATTGCGCTTGCAGAGAGCCATAGAGACATGTACATTGATAAGATGAATGGCATAATGAATTACTACGAATTGGAGAGTGAGGACGAGGTATTGACGGGGAACCTCCGAAAGCGTGCGGCCTATTTGCAGCGCGACAATAGAAGGTACTTCGAAGTTAAGGATCGGATTCTGCTGGCAGTGAAGAGCCTACAGAGGGAAGCCAAAGGGTGGTTTGAGGGCAGCTGCGAAGCGATGGAACAGCAGAAGATGGCCTCAGCATGGTATCATGTGACTTACCACCCGAATTATTACCAGAAAAGCATCAATTGCTTGAGCTTTCCTTGGATCAAAGGTGACATTTTGCTCAACATAAAGTCTATAAATAGCCAAAGAAATAGCACTTAAAAGACCAAATCATGTATATAGTCCAATCACTTGGTAATTTCTTACGTGGCAGTTTGACCATTGTTCTGTTAATTAACTTAACCATTGGTGATTTTAATTCTAAGTTTTGTTATTGGTCTGGATCTACTAGCGTGTTCAGAATTACTGAATTAGCCACCTTAATTTTACTCTACAGTCTACACCAGCAAGAGCAATAAATCACAAAATATAATTTAAAAAAATAAGATTTTTGACGGTCCACCTTTAATTAGGCTCCACAATTTAATAATCATAAATATTGATGTATTATTTACAAATAATTTGTTGATGAAAGAAAATAACTAGGAGGAAAACCCGTTAGTGGGTTTAAACGAAAATTATATTATAGATGCTAAAACTGTATAGCAAGTTAATCCATAATGGTTATATAGACCTCGTTTATTTTACCGATTTGAGTTTAAAATACTAATTTTGTTACAGTAAAAAAACTTTAAAAAATAATTATATTTAATTTTTTTATTACAGTAAAAAACTCTTATATAAAGTTACATCTCAATTTAAATTAAAACTCGAATAATCGAACTAAAGTCCATAAAATATAGCTATTAAGATATTTTTCTTCTTTTCATTTAATTTTTTTATTACAGTAAAAAACTCTTATATAAAATTACATCTCAATTTAAATTAAAACTCGAATCATCGAACTAAAGTCCATAAAATATAGCTATTAAGATATTTTTCTTCTTTTGTCCAACATGCACTCCATTGTCATTACCTAACAAAAAGAACCAATAAAGAAAAACCAAAGAAAAAAAAATCTAACAAAATAAATATTGATACATCACAGTGGACTGCTGAAAAATATCACAATTGGCAAGCACAAAAAGCGATTAATAAGCTTTTCGCTAAAAAGAAAAAAAAAGATTAATAAGTTGTCACATCTCTATCAAACAAAAATAAAACAAAAGAGAGAAGAAGAAATGGATGCATTTAAGCGCAATCCCTATCTCTAATCTAATAATTTCTTAATACAAATGATAAAGGTTTGCTGATAAGGCACGAAAAGAGTAGGGCCCATTGCCCACAACCTTTTTTGACTATTTCAACAAAACGACACTAAACAGAAATACTTGTAAATTTACATTAATATTTTTGACAACTTAATTATCATCATCAATAATTAACCAAACGAAAACCCTCATCAATTTTAATACAAACTTTTTTACTCAAAAAGAAAAAAAAAAATACAAATACAAATACAAACTTGCAACTATAACATTCTTATCCTCATCTCTTTCCTTTCCCTATCTTTTGTACAGTAAGTACACCACCAATCTCTGGAAACAAAATCATTAAAATTGAATTAAAAAATAATAATATCTATATAACAACAAAATAATAATAATAATAATAATAATAATAATAATAACAGTAATAAAAGTCTAAATGCGCCGTCACATGACGTCACCGGGTCAACCCTCCAGCTCAGAACGGCGGACATTCCAGCGCACAATTAGCCGTTGCCCGTTGGCACCAGCGGCGCAAGTTAGCTCCCCTTTCACGCGAACACCGCCACGTCATTACTACGCGGCCCTATGGCCACCGGCTGAACCGGCGGCGGACCCGAAACTGTGCCGTATCGGGTCGAGAAGTCACGAAAACCGGCGTAATCGTCCTCCTCGGAATTACCGTTATGCACCAGACCTTCGTCGAAATTGAGGGAGTAACTCAAGGGGTCGTACTGGAATTTCCCGTGCCGATTTCCTCCGCTTCTGTTCCGATTAAATCTCCGGATGAAGGTCTTCCACTTCGGACCAGCGACGATCTCCGACCACTCGCGGAGCTTCTTGAAGGCTCTGATTCCGCGGTTCCACCAGTGGTCGCCCTGTGCGGTCTGGATTCGCTCCCACCAGGCCAATCCGACGGCGGCGGAGGATCGCCGTGAGCCGATGCAAGGGAAGCAAAAACCACACCGCGTATTGGCCAGTAGAGCGTTGCTTCGGCCTTCGCCGAATGATTCCGGATCGTCTCTGCGGTTCATCTCCGGGTCTTGCACCGCCATAAAACAGGTTTCGTAGTGAGAGAACGGGGATAAGTTTCTCTCTCTATCTCCTCTCGTTTCTCCCTCTCTCTCTGAACTCTCTCAATTCCGTGACATTTACATAAACGTGTTGAGAAACGAAAGGCTGTAACGGATACAAGCGGTGACCGGGAAATACCGGTTTCGATGTTTTTCTTTTGCGGAACTCAGCAAAGTTTGCAACTCCTGGGAAAATACCAACCTGTGCTTCCGGTAACCCTGGGTGGGGTAACGAAGAAGGAAGGGTATATTCGTTATTGAACATGTCGTTTTGGGCCATTTTGGGCCCTTGATAGAGGCGATGATCAGGTGCTTCACGGTTGTAGGGAAGTACAGTAGGATGACAGGCAGGGGTGGACCCGGGGCCCCGGGTTACGTGTTAATGTAATCAACCAGGTAGTTGGTGCCTGGTGGGGGCTAGTAATTTTAAATGAATGCTGATTAGGGAATCTAGGAATCAAAGGGTCCCACAAGTCCAACTACGTTTTCTGTTCCCGCTGAAGAAGGGTTTCTGACATCGAAGCTTAAGCTTGCTAATTCACACTTGGAATCTTCTAATTCCATTTTCCAAAGTGTTTTATGGAGGATACATAGGCCGTTCACTTCACCAATTTAAATTTAGAATTCGAGTTTTATTACAGTAAAAAGCTCTCACAAACAATCACATATAACTTTTTTACTATAGTAAAAAGCTCTCACATAAAATTACATCTCAACTCAAATTATAAATTCGAATCAACGAAGTGAACGGACCCATAATAATTACCCATCAAATAAAAAACGAACTTTTTTTTAAGAAAAAAAAAACACTTTTCTTATTTTGGATTTTGGCCGTAGGTACGAATTTTCCTTCATGTTTGTTTGTTCTTATTACATAATAATCAAAGCAAGTGAAAAAAAAAAAAAAAAAAAAAAAACCCCTTCATTGGTGGCAATGGTGACTATATCTATGATATTGATGGTTGTTGGCATGCTTTGGAGAGTAGTTGTTTTGTTTTTTATGAAGCTTCTAAAGGGCTGCACGCTTTGATCAAAGATTGGCACCGAGAGCGTGTGTCTTCCACGCGTCGAGGGATTGGTGGTTCATCTGTTACATTTTTTAGTTCCATGTTGTATTGCTCGTTTAATCCCTCCCAATTTGGAGTCTGTTTTATCATCGAAGGCTTTACTTGTGTGGTTTTAAAAATTTTTATGTCTTTACTACTTACTTCATTCTAATAAAAGTGTCGTTGAATTCGCCATTTAGGGGGAGTTGTATGTGTAGTACACTAGATTTGTTTCTTTACAATATAGTGACTGGCCTTAGTGTCATTGATCTCTTGATCTCGACCGTTTAGAAATTTCCATTGATAACGCGTTGTTGAAAGAGCTATATATGTCCTCGTTACTCTTTTTTTTTTTGGTTAATAAGAAGATTTCATTAAAGCCAAAAAGGCAAAAGCAAAGACAACAGACAAACAAACAAGAGATGAGAAAGGAGAGCACAACTACCACCTAACCCACTCTACAACATCCGATAAAACAGAAGAAGGCAAATAAGAAACATCCACAATCCCCAAAACAAACGAAGCTAGACAACCATTTCGCTAAATTATGTGCAACAAAATTATAAGATCTAGGAGTCAGCGAATAACGAGGTCCTGCGGGATGAGGTGCTTCCTACAGATATCCTCCATAATCAATCTTCCACACCAGTTCGGGACTAGCTCCGAGAGAGCATTAGCCACTGCCTTACAATCCGTTTCAATGACAATAAGGACAGCTGACAGACCTTCGCTTGGACAAGAACTTCCTGTAGAGCTAAGAATTCGAGAGTCTCCGCATCATTTAGGTTGAATCTAGCTGAGAAGCACCGAAGAGTCTACGAGTTACAGTTCCGGACAACAACCGATTTGACTGCATCATCAAGACCAAGCGCAACATCAATATTCAACTTCACCCACCCTACTGGAGGAGGCAACCAAGAAGTAGACTCAGCAACAGCTACTTGGGTGGCCAAAAAGACCGCTTTGGCGTTAAGGAACAATGCAGCAACATTGGCAGCCACACTGGTAGGGTTAGCAGAGCAATCTTCGTGGAGGACCTTATTACGAGTCAACCAAATCTGGTCAAATAAGATACTAGCAAAGAGAAGGAATTCATCCTTGTTAACACCTTCCCAATCTAAATCCACACTAATGTTAAAGAAAGCAGCCATAGACTCAGCGTGGATGAAGTCTATCCGGATCTCCCAACCAGAAGAAAACCACAAACTCTTGGCGAATTTGCAGTACAGGAAGAGGTGAGTAGCTGTCTAAGTCTCCACACCATAAAGAGGGCAAGAAGGGTCAATATCAATAATCCTACGAGCAACTGGCCGCATAGGAAGAACATCCCAAATCAGTTGCCACCACAGAAGGCTGTGCCTTTGAAGCACTTTAGCAGGCCAGACCTTCCAATTAACCGTGCCCACAAACGCACCACTCCAATCACCATCCGCCGCCAACCTGTAGGCTGATTTAAGACTAGATTCACCATAAGTTTCCCTTGTCCAGATCCATCTCGGTTCCCCTAACCTTAGAATAGGGATGGAGAGAATAGCTCTCGCAGAAGCTCTATCAAAAGCTGCTTTAATAAGCTACACATTCCAAGTCCCAGGGGTAAGAATCAAATCCTTCACCTCCTGCAAAGTAGGAGCACAAGAACGCATTGCAGAATTAGGATGGTGGCCAGGAAGGTTAGGAACCCAAGCATCATCCCAGATACTAATGACCTCCCCGTTACCAACTCTTCGACACACCCCTAAGGATAACGTTGGAATATTCTGAACAACCATTTTCTAAAACGCCGAGTCACTTAGCTTAGCCACAATATTAAGCATGTCTCAACCCCTCTCGTACTTAGCAAGAATAACAGAAGACCAGAGAGTGTCATTATGATTCAACAACTTCCAACCTCATTTGACAGCGAGGGCATTACTGAAGTCTTCCATCCGGCGCATGCTTAGACCCCCTGAAAGTCTTGGTCTACAAATAAAGGCCCAGCTCTTTCAACAAATGCCTCTTCTATCCGAAGGAGAATTCCACCAAAACCTTCGAAAAATACCATCAAGCTCCCTACAAACCTTCATAGGAATAGGTTTGGTCGTCATTTGATAAACATGCATAGTTTGAGCAACCGCTTGGATGAGCGTTAATCTACTAGCTTTAGACAAAACCCTCGCCTTCCAGCCCAAGACCTTAGCATTCACTTTCTCAATAACTTCCTTCTACTTGGAGCTGCGAGCTTTGGAATCAAACATCTTAACTCCCAAATACTTAGCATCCAGCTGCATACGAGGCATATTTAGTAAAGAGCTCAGCCTAACGCACACCTCATCAGGAATATTAGGGTTGAAATGAACATGAGATTTATCCTTAAGTTTATGTCCAGACTAAGTAGAGTACTTCTCCAGAATTCTCATTGCACTCGCCAAATTCTCTTCCATGGCACAGCCAAAAATAACAAGATCATCCGCAAAAAAGAGGTGTGAAAGCTCATGACCAGACCTCCCAATTTTGAAGCCCTTGAACCGATTATCATGACATTCCCTTTCAAACAATCTACTCAGAAGTTCACTGCAAAGAATGAACAAGTAAGCGGATAAAGGGTCCCCTTGACCCAAGCCTTTACCCAGGGAGAAATCATCAAAGCACTGCCATTCAACAGAACTGACATTTCAGTACTTGCAACACAAGACAAAATTCTGTTCATGAATCTTTACGGAAACCCAAAATTACGCATCATGGCCTCAAGAAAATTCCAGGAGACCCGATCGTACGCCTTCTCCATGTCAGCCTTAATAAAAAAATAGCCTCTCTTCCCTAATATTCCATATGCATAAGTCTTCACTTTGTTGCAAGAATTTCCATCATTCCATTCTTCACTTCCACCTATATGTGCTCTAAATCTGCCTGACATTTCCCATCATTAACATTTTTATGTGCTCGTTATTTGGTGTGCCTATTTGATTTTCAATAGTCAAAATTCAATATATGTTTCCCCCTTTGTCTAAATTTATTTGTGAATCCGATCTTTGTTTTGAGTTCGCGTCAATGTTAGTGTTTGTATCTCTTTATTCTTCAATGCAATTTTCCTTTTTTGTTTAAAAAAATCCCTTTTGATTAGGGTTGTACATAAACCTGAACAACCCGCAAACCCAACACACTTCATTCCAACCCAACCCAAAAAAGGCAACTTATCGCATTATTTTTTTATTTTTCAGCCCACTAAATGTCTAGCCCGAGGTGTTTGAGACGGTTTGTAAATTGGACCTATAATAACCCGCATACCCCAACCCAACCCGCACAAACATACCTGATAAGGAGCCTATGAATGTTGACTAATAAGGATGGTTGTTGTTGCAGTACTTGTTTTGGATTGATTTGAATTAAGCCTCTAATTTATGTTTGATGTTGGATGGACTACTTTGCTTCATGTTTGATGTTAGATTGAACTTTGAATTGTTATCTATTTGATGATGGACTAATCAGTATTATTTTTATTTGATGATAAATTTTGAATGTTAAAATTATGTTTGATTATCCGTATTATTTCTATTTTGATGATCAGTATTATTTGATGATGAACTTTGAATGTTAGAGTTCTTATTTCTATTTGATGATGAACTTTGAATATTAGATTGAACTTTGATTTTTTGAATGATGAACCCGACCACCCAACCCCGCCCCTACCCAACTCAAACATCATTGGGTTGTGAAATTTTTCTAACATCGTTAGAGTATGTGCAACCCACGCCTCTTAAAGCGGAGTAAAAAAAAAACTCTATCCCGCACTAACTTAACCAATATTCACCCAACCCTGCCCCTACCCAACTCAAACATCATTGGGTTGTGAAATTTTTCTAACATCGTTAGAGTATGTGCAACCCACGCCTTTTAAAGCGGAGTAAAAAAAAAACTCTATCCCGCACTAACTTAACCAATATACAGCCCTACTTTTGATGATTGGCCTTCGGCCCTTCTAATAAACTCTTTATCCCCTTTAGCGGAAAGATAAATTCCACTTTATTAACCCACGAACATTATATATGGACCTCAAATTGGATGGGAAGATTTGTCATCTGCTGAATACTGAGAAAAACAAAAAGTTATGTGATTGCAAGTTCAGAAGAAAAAAATGTGTACTAGTACCTTTATTCACACAAAAAAAAAAACAAATAAACAAATAAACAAAAAAACAAAAAAAAACAAATAAACGTATAGATCACTGACCTTAAAAAAATTGCAATTAGTGACCATGCAACTAATTGTCGTGTAAGCAATAATTTGGTATTGTTATGTCAATCATCATGACAATTGACAGCACTGCACATGAAATAATCAAAATACTATTAATCAAGCTAACATCGCTTGTATTAACGTTGCATAGATAAACACAACGCTAACCAGCTCAATTGTAATAAACCACGTGTTGAACTAGCAAATACAACGGACCGTTTAATTTACTAATTCCGAGTTTTTATTTAGAATTGATATGTGATTTTATATGAGTACGTTTAGTAGAGGGATTCATTTTCTGATTCGAATCATGATTCGTAGTTCGCTACAGTATTTTCTCTCACAAAAAATACACGTAAATTGAAAATAGTTCGAATCACATGGTTTGAATCCTCTAACCAAACGTCCTCAAAAACTTTTTACTATAACAAAAAAATTAAATATTACTGTTACTGAGAGCTTTTTACTACAACAAAAATTAAATTATAAACTCAAATCGGTGAAATAAACGGAGCCTTACAATAAATATTTTCCTTGTTATACAATACGCAGCTTAACTATGTAAATAAACAGGAAAAATTTGTACGAAAATAGTAGGAAATAGGCCAATATGAAAAGCTTAAGAAAGTATATAGGCCAATTTTTAGTTATAAAAATTAATAGGCCATAACTTGTCAAGTTATGGTTCATAACCAGATAAGTTATGGACAAACTTATCAAGTTATGGTTTATAGCCAGATAAGTTACAGACAAAAACCGTGAATTATGAACAATAACTTGTCAAATTATGGTTCATAACCAGACAAGTTATGAATGAAAACAATAATTTGACCTATTTATTAACTTATGTAAACTATTGACCTATTAATTTTAATTCATCTCAAGTCTTGACCTATTTTCCTCTTTCTCTCAAATTTGTATATAGATATATTAAACACGCCACATTAATCAAATTTCTATACTTATAAATAATCACAACAGAAATGTAACTATCGAAAATTCGTCGTTTACATATATAGCTCGAATAAAATTATATGGCTCGAATAGAATCTTTATTTACATTGGACCGGTAGCTACTTACCATGTTTTAAGTTCCTCTGACTTTCATCTGTGATTTGAGTGTTACTTCTATATTTGACTTGGACATGCAACATTAAACTATCTGGTAGAGTTGGATGAATGAAAGAACTTGGAGATATTTTGTAAAAGACGAGAGAATATTAGGTTGTTTGGTGGATAGAAAACTAGGATTAGGAGGAGGGAAAACAAAAAAAAAGAAATATGAAAAATTTACGATGCAACCATTTTTTTAATCCTTATATAACTATGGAAAGAAAAGCCGAGATTAATATATATATATGTGTGTGTGTGTGTACACACATTATATACAGCAAGCCGCCCTATTCATACACTATTTTCTATTATCTTTTCTTCGCTTCTACCAACTACAACAGAAAAACTCTCCCCATCTGATTTATTTACCTCACTTTTACATTCTCCTTAATTTTCCATCCCTCTCACCGAACACTGAATGTTTGTTGCCAAACAGCAGTAGAAAACTTAGGTTGAAATGTCATTTTACAATAGGATTATTTTCTATTATCCCCAATCTACAACTCCAAATTGCAACCAGACAATATTGGCTGGTATGATGAAAAAGCTACTCATTTTTCCCTTTATGTAACGTTGCTTAACCTCCAAACAATGTGATTGGTGACCAATACCAAATTTTCCAACCACGGACATACAAGTCAATTTTCAGGTCAGAAACAGTTTGTGCATATGGGTTGAAGTGTTCAAAATGGGCAAGATTGTGCAGTAGTGCAGGTCATAATTTTCTTAACAAATTTCTCCAATCATTGTTAGGGAAAAAGAAAAGTTCATGGACGGTGGATGTGGAAAGAAGAAAGCTTGAGGAGTATAATTGAAGCAACCTAATAGATAAATAACTCTCTCTGAAACAATACCAAACCGGCCTTTATTTTTACACAATGGGTTGCTATAACTCTGGGTTTTAGGTTTATTTATCAGAGCAAATCTAGCTCAAAGTTGCTTGCTTCAAGTATATTAGGGCTCTTCTCATATTCTCTTCTTGAAACAGCAACCATGGGGCTGAAGGATTCTGATCATTAGCTACATTTCATCGGCTGGCGGGGGTTGGCCAGGTTTCCTAAGCAATCTCAGCTAAGTTAAAGTAACGCTCAAATTCCTAAACAAATTATAGTTAAAATTCCTCAAGAATCCTGAGAATCAAAAAACTGTTTCTCTACTTTACTACTATACTACCGTGCCTTAACCTGATCACAAGCTACAATATCAATCAGAATTCTGGTTACTTATCTGGTGATTATCTTCTACCAATTATAAGCCTAACTGACAATCTACTACTAGGACTGGATTTGTAGCAAGGCAAACAAATATCAATTGTATAATCATAGATAGAACAGAGAAAGTTGCGACGAAAGATTATAGTATCAACTATTGCATATGAAATGAGAGTTAGCATTCCTCGAGTAGTAAGGACCCATTAGGGCTGACTTCTCATATACTCTATTATTGCAAGGAGACCTCAAACGACATTAGAATCCCATGCAAAGGGTATTCTTCAATTCAAAACATCAAGTACACATAACTATTAAAGCCAAGTTTTTTGCACAAACAATATCAACCAGAAATACTACTGTTTTTGCTACCAGGTCAAACACCTTAGCTAAGAGTTAGTAACATAGCAGGAACTCTACTAATGCAAAGTAGCACATAGGAGAAAATTCACCATTTACGACGCGAGAGCCCCTCCAGCTTTCGCATCATGAACGGCCCAGAAAAAGCTTCCGGCATCATCAGACTTTCCGGTATCAAGAGCTATAGCACCAAAGATTGCTCTGAAAGCGCCACAAACCACGGAAGGAGCAGAAGAATCGGTCTTGGGAGATACCCTAACCATGTTCTGCAACCCCAGCCTCGTACCATCAACGGCACAGGAGGTCTCCACCTTAGAGATTTCTGTGAGTCGAAGGCTCAAATCCTTGGAGGAGATGTCAATATCCCTTTGGAGATAGTACATAGAGGCAGATGTTTGGATGATACTGGCGCCGAGCAAGCTCAATGCTCGGTTGTTCTCTTCTGAGAAAGAGGAGTGGGTCATCGCGCGCCGAAGAAGACCAATGCTTGTGAAATTGTAGCTGTAAAAACACAATATAGCAAAAAAGGTTTCATTTTGGATTGTACAAGACCTGACTTGTTAAAGAAAAATGTCATTTCCATTTCCTTAAGAGTTTCATGGGAAACAGACAAAGCTGATGATCTAGATTGAGACATGAAAAGTGGAGGGCAAAATAAGAAAGAAGATACACCAAAATTCTTCTTATGAAGACTTTGTAGAAGCAAAAGTTTTCACTTGGCTTTCTAGAGAATAATCAAATTATAACCACTTTTCTCTCTCTTTTTCCCCTACTTCACCGAATCCAAACGAAGATTGGCCCAGATTATAAAACCCATTAAAATGACTGATTTGCTTCTTAAGGATTTCCCAGAGTAAAACAAAGAAGAATTACTTCTTGAAAGAAAATAGTGTATATTCCTATAGTTTCGCAGGAACCAAATTAAGCTGATGATCCACACTATAAAGACATGAGAAACCGACGCGGAGAAAAAACACCCAATTGGCTTATGAAGGATTTCTAGAGCAAAAGGTTTCATCTTGGTTATTGAGATTAAACATAAAAGAACTGACGTCTTTATAAATTAAGGTATATATGTGTTTGTGTATGTATGTATAGACATAAACAGTATAATATATATGCATGTATGTATGGATTTCTAAGTTTAGCGATATGGTGATAGTGAAAAGAGAAAAAAAAAATAGTATTTCCCTTTTTCCTACAGTTTCACAAAAACCAAACTAAGATAATGATCCAGATTAGGAAACACATTAAACGCCCAATTTGCTTCTTCATGATTTCCCAGAGTAAAATAAAGAAGAATCACAAATAAATACACGAGAAACAAGAGGAAAAAGAAATACCCGATTCGCTTCTGAAGGATTTCTAGAGCCGCCGAAAATGGCGACGAAGAGAATCCGAAGCTTCTGTGGCGAAGCTCAAACGCTGACATTCCCTGAGCAAAACGGCGAATAAACTCCATTAAAATGTACATGATGAGCTAAAAAGGGAGACGAGAAACCGGCGGAAATTAGAGAGGAAAGTTTTGAACTTTTTGAGAAAACCTGGATTTGAGGAAGGATTGCCATGGCGGAAATGGCGAAGAAGATCGTGAAGCAACGGATCAGAAGCATTTTTTTTTTTTTTTTTGTCGACTGGCGAAGTGGAAGGAGTGAGAAAAAAACCTAGAGTTACAGAGAAAACTTTCCCTTGAGTTCTGAGAGACGAACTCGAGAGTAGCGCCAATAGCTTTCCCTTGGGACCTCTTTGTACGGGCGATCCATGCATGCGACGTGTGTAACGTAACAGTTCACCATATATAAATAAAATCCTGAGCTTTTGAAAATTTAGCCCATTATTTTGACAATTTACTCTTCGAACTTTTAAAATAATTACATTGTGGCTCGTTTTATCCATTTCGTGTTAATTTTTGTCAAATTTAAAGGATTAAGAGTTGAAAAGTTAATTAAGACCTCGTTCGCTTCGCTGATTCGAGTTTAAAATTTGAGTTTTGTTACAGTAAAAAGCTCTCACAAACAGTCACATCTAACTTTTTTGCTACAGTAAAAAGCTCTCACATAAAATTACATCTCAACTCGAATTCTAAACTCGAATAATCGAAACGAACGAGGCCTAAATTTGTATTACAGTTTGAATCGAGATATTATAATTTTTGTTGGAACGTGCTTTTTCATCACAAATTTAATACAATCACATTACAACAGTTTAGTAAGTTAAGGAGCAAATTATTAAAATTAAAAATTTTAAGGATAAATTGTTAAAATCCTAAAAGTTCAAAAGGAAAATGTCTAAAATACCTTAAAATCCTGGTCTATCTAATCATATAATAAACAATGTTATTTGATATTAACAGTGTCATACACCACTCACTAATAAAAAATGAGTCTCACAATATGAGACCTACATGAGGGGCTAATAGTATGGGAGCTATGTTTATTACAAGCATAGCTGCATTGATGTCGAATTTGAGACAAAATGGAATTGGGCTATTGGCTCATTTGGGCATGTCATTTAGGACATCCCTAGTGCTAGAAGTAAGGGTCGGCAGGCTTGCCCGATGCCCGAATTTTCCAGGCTCAGGGGGCGGGGACCCATGGTCGCCCGTCCAAGCACTAGGGTAGGCTCAGGCTCGGGCTGCCTAAGAAACAGCTACACGGCGAAAGCTCGCCGTTGATTTGTCTCTCCCAACCGTCGACCGCCGTTTTTTTTTTTCAATTTTTTTTCATCCGGCCCAAAGTTAAGCCCGAATGCATGAAGCCCGTGTAACGGCTAGTTTTTCAAATTTTACACCCGACCCGACCTATTACCTGAAAGTCCGACCACCAACGGCTCTTTTTTTTTTTTTTTTTTTTTTTTTTCTCTTTTAAAGCCTTTTTTTTTTTTTTTTTTTTTTTTTTACCTTTGCCTAATTTTTGGTCCGAACTCACCCGAACCCAACCCACCGAGACCAAAAATAACCGTTGGATCCAAATTTGGGAAAAAAAATCAATTTTTAACCCAAAAATTTCTCTATAAATACCCCTATCCCTCAAACATTTTCCTCACCCAAACTCTCTCAATCTCTCAAATCTCTCTCATAATTTTTCTAAAAAACTATCACAATATCCTAAAGCTCTCTTTCTCAAATCGCTATTCTTTTTTATAATAGATTCTTTTGGTTATGGACTTATGGTGGTATTCCTATTGATGCCGAACAAAATATGAAAGAATGGCAATTTCTTAATTTTAACACAAAATAACTTAATAATTATTTATATACATATACAATTAATAAATATTAGTATATTATATATAATATATATACAATATTATAAAAATTAAAAGATATAATAAAATAATATTTTTTTCAAGCACTTCGGGTGGACTCGGGCAGCCAAAACCAGGCCCGCGGCCCATCCATGAGCCTTCTCGTGCTCGGGTAGACGGATTCAGGTGTCAGGCTCAACTTCAGTTTTTTCAGGCGGTCACGGACAGCCCATCGAAAGTTTCAATACTAGACATCCCTACTCTCTTGAAGTCTCGTCCCTAATTTTGTGGCTCACGCGTGGCACATTAGAGGCACATGTCGTTGGTTTAATGGTGCATCGAAAATGCTTCACCCCTCACTTAATGCCCGACTTTTCTTATTATTTTCGACATTGATGGTCATCTCTCTGTTAGAAGTTTTGAAGGTCTTATTTTTTGTTGTTTTTTCTTCTCTTTTTTTCTATTGAGTTTGGTTTGGGATGTTTATAATAAGGGTTGTTCTTGTCTTATCTTACTTATATTAGGTTTGCATGTGTTTGTCGCGTGGATCTACTCTTTTACCCTTTTTAATGTATGGTCATGGTGTTATGATATTCTCTATATCAGTTAATTATTGTTTCCATAACTATAAAGGCTCAGTAAAAAAAAAAATGAAAAAAAAAAAATCATGCATGAGCTCTATTTGTGGTGCACCTCTTCAGGTAATTTCCCTTTGTAAAATTCGGTACACAATATCACATTTTCAGCGGTTCATTCAAGTTTACAGGCGGAACCAATTATTTGTCAATGTTGTGCTTCATGTAGTATTTTTATGCTACGCAATATATTTATCCTTTCAAGAAAAAATATCGGCCTACACTTAACGAATCGTGTGAGGTTTGGTGGCTGCCAATTTTCCTTGCATCTCTTTAGGAGAATCATTTGGTAACCTATGAAAAAATACATTAGTACTATCAAATCTTTATCAAATTCCATTAAGAAGACACTACCAGCCTAATTTAAAGGCTTAGGTTTCATTCGCTTCACAGATTCGAGTTGAGATATGACATTTTTTTAAAGTTTTTAATTGTAGTAGAAAAAGTTAGATGTGACATTTTCTAAGAGCTTTTAACTGTAAAATTCTAAAACTGAAAACTCAAATTGGTAAAATGAACAGGCTTTAAAGATTGTGACTCACTCTTACCAATCTTCCTCATGTATTCAGCTACCTTTCAGGAATGGAACATGTCACATACTGCTACGAGCGTCCAAATTTCCGCTGCATAAAATACCAAGCTTATTTTATATATATATATATAT